AAATAATATTAATAAAATATTTAGAGTTAAGTCGAGTTCATTACACTCACTTATGTACTGATACACTTAAGAAAGGTGTAAATCAAAGTCTTCTTCCTCCAACTATGGATAAATAGTAAGAAAGACTGGGTTCTATAGCCTTGAGTGGCAACCAGCCTAGGAGATGGAAAACTCTGAATTTAAAACTGTATGTAACCCTGGAAAAGAACATACTATGCAACTAAGGAAAGGATCATTTGCATTGACTTGATCCTGGTGATAGTCAACTCTTTATTTTTTTTTTCCTTTGATCTGTACAAACTGTCTGCATGCCTCAATGAGAAATCATCAAAGACCTAAGCAACTTTTAGCAGCTAAGGTGTTAATAGGTGAGTTGCTATATATTTTGTAGGGGTGAAAAGTGTTCAAAATTTAAATAGAGATTTTAACATATTTCATAAATTTTAAAATTATTTTTAAAGCTTTGTAATGAGTCCCAATAGAAAAAAATATATAAAAATAAAATATATAATTAAAAAAATAACAAGGATTAAAATTAAAATAAGGCATTTACAATTTCCTTTAAAACCCTTATCTCTTTCTTTCTCTATCTCTCTCTGAACTTCTCTTTCTATACTTCTCTTCCAACTAATGAGAAGGCATCCCTCAAATAAAAAGAGGAAGATGAAGAAAAGATTGAACCTGGATGAAAACATCAAAAGTTTGCAGGATTAAAGCCTATTTATTTGTGACTAAAAAAATTCTAAATATCAGGGTAGTTCCATGCATAACTTCCATTATAAAAAAAAATTAAAATAAAGGAACTCTGGAAAATAAAATAATTTTGGCCAATCAAAAAAATTGACAGAAAGAGATTTTTTATGTTAGCTAAAACCAATGTTTGCATCAGAGTCTTGGAGATATAAATAGAAGGAATGGCAGAAAAGGACATAACAAAAGATTGCTACTATTAGGGAAACCATCCATGTGTAATGTGTGAAGAAGTAGTTAAGAGGTCATCTGCTGATGGTATTTCTGCCCTGTTTAGGGCCCAGAAAAACATGGTAGATTGATACTGAGCTATTTCTAATTTTACTACTACCCTTATTATGGTCTGACTTCAAAACTAGTAGTTAAGAGGTCATCTGCTAAAGGTATTTCTGCCCTGTTTAGGGCCCAGAAAAACCCGGTAGAGTGATAATAAGCTATTTCTAATATTACTATTACCCTTATTATGGTCTGACGTCAAAACTGCCACTACCAAGCTGAAAAAGACATTAAAACTGGATCTTTCTCAACAGACAAAGTGACAGCACCTTACCAAATAACAGAAAAATGTTCCCCGAGGAGAAATTTCAAAAAAATAAAATACTGCCTAATGGTTATATCCACCTTGGCAGAAAGGGAAATAAGCTACTGCCACTGCTTAAAACATTCATTAAGCTGAGGAGTAGTAGTGTAATTTGTTAGCCAAGGATGGTGAGTTCAATCCTAGGTAGGAGTCAGAATAGTTAAAAGTTCTTCCCCTTTTCATTTTTTCATGTAGGTTATAGTGGCAGCTTATTTATCATACATGTTTTAATGTACATTTTTTTTTTTATTTTCAAGGAAGAGAGATTCTAGGCTGACATACATGATCCAGAATCTTCTTAGAGGAGACACCTCTCCTAGGCAATCTGAAACTTGCCGAGCCAAAAATCCATTCAAGTTTATGTATTACCTTCTGTTCAAGCATTTCACAAATAATTGCAGTTTCAATTCAATATTTGAGTAGATGAGTGAGCAGATTCATATAGGCTCGCATTGTCAGTTTTAAATATTACTGGAAGATTTTCCGTCTTATCTTCAGTGCATAAAAGTTTTATAAGATATTTTCTATAGAATGTGCAGGCTTCAATATTATCAGCCATAGCAAGTGTCTCTGCTGCTTGCCTGGTTTTCACAACTCTCTTGACTCTATGAGATTGCCAAGAAATAGGAACATAACTATCATTGTCACCCACAATAATGACAATGTATCCTGCTTGAGATCCTCCATTGTTAAGTCCAGAAAATCCTGCATCACTATATGCTACCAGTTTTATGCTTGTAAGATTGCCTAAGTTAGGTATACATTCTTGAGGAGATTTTCTCAGTTTTTCTAGTTGATTTATTTACTAGTGATATACTCTCTACTTTTCTATCCTTTAAAAATGATTTTACATCACTTATCTCATAATTTAAATCAGGCTGTGTCTGTGTAACTAGACAACTTAATTTTCCTATTGAGTTTCTACATAATTTGAGCTCATTATTTGACAAAACTTTGTAGACATCATAGGAATTGATTTGACAAACTCATTTTGACTAATTATTATAGACTCCTTTCACTGACAAATCACAAGAACAAGATATTTGAAACTTTTGTCTCTTTTTTGGTGCAAATCCATCTTGTAATTGTATTTTGGTCTGGGTTTCATACAACAGAATACACTTTGTTTTTAGCCCAGTGATATAATTCCTTTTTTTAGCATATTCTACAATATTGACTGTTGAAAGTAAGCTAATTTCCTCATTGTCTGAAAATTCCATTTCAAGAGGTTTGCTTTCACAAGAGGCTTCTTGTAGATTTTCTTTTCTAAAGTTAAGAAAGTCTTTCCACTCTACCACATTTATCCCCAAATTAAGCCAAAATGGGTCTAACCCTTAAACACATACATTTAAAATATTTTTGTTTTTGCCAGTAGCTTTTTCAGCACAATTGATAACTTACATTTTCTTCCAAGAAGGATCATTTTCTGATGCTACTTTGCACATTATCTCTTGCTCTATTCTTGGTAAAATTACATTATCTGCCTTCACAGATTTTTTTATGGATGTCCAGCCTTTTTGCTATTCAATGCATGAGTTTTTGCATTGTTACTCATGGAAGGACTAATATTTTTCCCATCAAGTGAACCATCCATAGCATCTTCAAAATCTGTACTTTGACTATCTTGGTCTACCAATGAATCATCTTCCAAATTTTCTGTATTAGATCGGTTCTCATCAGTTGTTGGCACATTCAGTTCTTGAACAAAATCATTTTTATATATCTGCGGACAACATGGATAAACTCTAACATAGCTTCCTCCATGCTTGATCAATACCTGCTTATTTTCAGTTCCTATAACTGTTCCTGATCTCATCCAATGGTTTGATTCATTTTTCATAAAATATAAGAGATCTCCATTTCTATATTTAATAGCTTCTATTTTTTTTTTCAGATGACTCTGCTTGGATAAAGGCCTTTCTTGCTGCATGCATAGCATTCAAGTTGTTACCTATGGATTCACTTAATGTAACACCGTCTAAAGCTGGGGGTTTATTTATCAGAACAGAAGGCACATTATGATTTTGCCCAAATACCAGTTGATTTGGACTATAACCAATTATATTATGCAAAGTATTTTTGAAGCTCAGTGACTAAGCAATGACAAGTTCCAAGCTGCAATCAGTGTCTTCCATAGTTCTGAGTACCATTTAATTAAGTATAGCATTGTGGTGTTTATTTAATCTATTGCTCCATGAAATTTGTGCTGATGTAGTTTGTACAATCATATTTAAATTCTAGGCCATGTCTCTGAAAGTTTGATTATCAAATTCTCACCTGTTATCAGTTAGAAAACTAGAAAGAGATCCAAAATATGCAATCCAAAACCGAAATACAATGTTAATAATTTCTGAACTTTTCTTATTATAGAAGCGACACTGTATCTGATGAAATGATCTATTAAATGAAGAATTTTGGTCCCTTTAATTTCTTTTATGTACATAAATACCATTTCATTGAAGTGTTTTGCTAATGAGAAACCAACAATTGGTTTGGGTGGTACTCTTATATTTTAAGCATATGTCACAATTGGAAGTAATTTCCTGAAGATTTTTCATAAGTTCAACATCAAGAACTCCTGCATCTTTTGGAGAGTACTCATTTTCTCATAACTTGGGTGATTTGCTTGTGAAGTTTTTCTGCAAGTTTCCTTTTTTCTCCAACAGAATTATTTTTAATATCCCGAGTGCTGATTAGAACAATACTTTCATTCTTTTGGAAACCTGGTGTAGCAAAAGAGATGTAATAATGCCCAGAGTTAGTGCAAAAAATTTCTAACTTTTTGGCCAATCATGAACACACTATCATTTTTAAAATTCAGAACAGTATTAATTTTCTTCATTGCATCTTTGCTCAATAAAAGAGGTATTTTAAACTTTACTACATCAGCATGAATTTCAACATGTTTTCTTGCTAATATACAGGGTAACTTCACTTTGAACATGGATTTCAAGTGTTGGCCATCTCCAAATTTAAATGTAGCATTAATAACCTCTGCTTTCATGTTTCTTTTAACTTTCTTTGGCAAAGTGTCTAGGTAGCAATTATACCAAGTCAAGCCGTACACTGACCTGGAACAACCTGCGTCCAAAATCTTGGCACCAATAGTTTGTCCTAGGAGTGGACTATCCCCAGAGTTATTGTGATTCATAAATACAATATTGGCTTTGAATATTTCTCTATTTCATGTTGACAATTTTTAGCCCAATTGCATGGGTAGTTTCACAAATAGCACATCTAGAGGGTTTAGCATCAGGTCCAAGAGGATTTTGTTTCTCGGTTTTATCCTTTTGATAATTGATATTACTTCATTTATTGAATTTATTACCTCTATCTGTATTGCCTCTTCATGTCCTACCATGATAATACTTCTGTTGATTTCTGTGAACAGAGCTATACATTATGTCCTTTTTCTGTGCATCACCATTTTCATCCAAATATTAAGCTAAGTGTACATCAATTGGTTCAGACTTTATTTGATGGATTGCTGGAAAGGAAGTAGTCATTAAAGTCTCTGATCTAACACCATTCACCTTTTTTTTATTTGAACTGTCATTTCATTAAGTGTTATGTCTCTGATAGTAGCCATTATTAGTTTTTCATTGTTTTCTCCACAATTAGCACTTTTGAGGGCTCTGTAAGTCAATACAGCATTCAGCAATTTAATATCATGTTCACTGAGTTGCTGAACCATATGGTCAAATTCTATAATGAAATCAGCAATGGTGATATTTTGTGGTCTCATATTTTTCAAGATTTCCATATGCCATCAGAGCCACTTGATTGAACAGAGAGTCCAATATTTCATATAACTTCATTCCTTCTTCTGTGTTTAATTTATCAGGGTTCATTTCCAGCATTGCTTCTCTGGCTATACCATTTAGACTCAAAAACACAGTTGGAACTCTTCATCATATCTATATTTGTAGTCATTTCCCAGAACTTCATTTCTTAATTCTTTTCAAGCATGGTATTTTTCTGGGATAAGCACTGGTGGGGCTAAAATCCTAATATTTGTAGCCATTTGCCTTTTTTTTTATATTAACTATGCTCTGCTACTAGATGTAAAAACAGGATTTTGCTCAACAAACGGTGACAATACTTCACCAGACAATAAGACATTTCTCCATATTGTTACCAATATAAACAACCATTTTGTGACACCGAATATCAAAGGACTCATTACTCACTCTAAAGCAAATAAATAAAAATATATTATTTATTTTATACCTTGAGTCGGTTTGTTTTATTCCAAAGTTTCTAGTAAAGCAAATAAAACACCTATCCAAATTGTTTCATAAAATATTTTAACAATGTTCAGTTTACAATTCTAAGAAATCATAAAATATTTCTGTTTTAAAAATTTCTTTATCTACAAGGATAAAAATTTGCATAAGACATGTGAGGCACACATAAGTGTCATTTTTATGTAATTCACTTGTTTCTAGATTGCCAGAAATTTGAGATACATATTTTTTTGCATCTTTTGACATCATTCCCAGTGCTCCTATGACTATAAGTAGTACCACTGTTTTGTGATTCCACATTCTGCTAATTTCTATCTCGAGATCCTTATATTTGTTTAGTTATTCAAATGTTTTTAAAGAAGTAATTTTACTAGCTGGGAGTAAAATGTACAACATATCACCTGTTGTATATACTTGGCTATCCATTCTGCTATTCTAAATACTTTATTTGTACAGTATTTACATTAGTCGGACTATTGTCCTCATCTTTGTCGCCATATTTGTCACAACGTTTCGGCCGTTGTACACTCCGGCCTTCTTCAGGTGGTTGGAATTTCGAACTGAACCCTTTATTTCGATCACTGGGGTAGACTGTTCTAGTTCCATGTGCCATGTTTGATGGATGTCAGTTATCAGTTATCTCCTGCTAATTTTCCCTCTGAAAGTTCTCCACTGCCTTAACCTGGTATTGAACTCACCTTCTTTGGGTCTGTCACTGGATCTAACCAACGCCTTTATTTGTGTGAATCAACTGCATTCAGAGATTATGTGGTCAATTGTCTTATCCCACACAGATGACATAATGCGTTGATATCAATTTTCAGAATATGGTCAAATCATTCCTAGTTGGAAGACATCTTGAGCAGTAATAATATACCCCTGGGATCCTGGTTTAAACTACTGATTGGTAAGAGCTTAGTTAGTATTAGGACCACCTGTTCTATTGCAATAGTTACTATGCAGTGTGTTTTGTAATAATATTTTAATAGTGTGTTGGAGGCCAGTTTGTGTAACCTTGTTTTTTATTTGTTTCACTATTTCTTCTAATGACACATTTTCTTCATTAAAATCTGTTACCTTAGTGGTTCCCAAACTTTTTTACTCTGGGCCGCATTTTTGGAATGAAAATTTGCTCACCACTCACCAAATTTTATGTGATAAAAAGTAGATTTAAAAATAAAAAAACAGAGTTAAAGGGAGATAACATTATGACTTCAAATCCATGGTTATCACTGATAACTCTCTCCTCCAGTTTGTGAACACTAGTTACTATATTCTTAATAATTGATGTAATGCAAAAAATATCACAATGATAAAATCGTTCATTAATAATTTATAACTATTTATATGAAATTACCAGTAATCTATAATAATATTTTAAATTTTGAAACCATATATATTTTTGCATATGAATTTTTAAAAACTGTTTCTCAAACTTTGATTGTTTTTCATTCATTTTGCCTCACCTGCTATCCTCTTCCATTATGAGATGCCCCACACTATTTTGAAACAGGTGGAAAGACAACTCAGCACTGCCAATTCAACACTGCTTACTGAGTGCCAGGACAACTCAGCACTGCCAATTCAACACTGCATACTGAGTGCCAGAACAACTCAGCATTGCCAATTCAACACTGCATACTGAGTGCCAGAACAACTCAGCACTGCTAATTCAACACTGTTTACTGAGTGCCAAGACAACTCAGCACTGCCAATTCAGCACTGCTTACTGAGTGCCAGGACAACTCAGCACTGCCAATTCAACACTGCTTACTGAGTGCCAGGACAACTCAGCACTGCCAATTCAACACTGCATACTGAGTGCCAGAACAACTCAGCACTGCTAATTCAACACTGTTTACTGAGTGCCAAGACAACTCAGCACTGCCAATTCAACACTGCTTTCTGAGTGCCAGGACAACTTTAAAACTGCTTCATTTTGTTTAAATTTTTTTTATTTAGTTTATTAAAAATAATTAAAAACAAATACTGGTTCATATTTTATATACTTTTCAAATGCCATATTTAAAAAAATATTCACTAATTAAGGTTTTAATCCTTAATAAATTACTTTTATTTGGTTATAAAAAAAAGTTATGTTTTTCTGGTGTTGAGTTGTCTCAGTGCTGAATTATCTCAGTGCTCAGTTACTAGCCCTGAGTTGTCTCAGCCCTGAATTGTCCCAGTACTCAGTTGCTGGTGCTGAGTTGTCTTAGTGCTCAGTTACTGGGGTTGAGTTGGAAGTGTTGAGTTGTCCCTTCCTCTTTGCAAAGCACTGTATTAAGTTGTATTTCTTGAAAGTATTTTTGTTACAACCTACATCATGGAATGCAACATTTTATTTTTATCTTTTTTTGTTTTAAAAGCAGTTTTGACATCTAGTCTTTGATTTGTTGTAAGCCAACATAATCCCATAATGTCAATTTTCGATGTAACTTGGAATTGAATTAATCCACAACTCAAGTTTTTCATTTTCTGGTGAAGTACAATGCCACTTTTGTTTTTGAGTTGTGCATAGGATGCATTGTCAGTAGTTTGCAAATTTTAATATAATTTTTGTGAATGAACAATCAATAATATTAATGCCATATATGCATTGTTGATGTATTTTGTTTCTGGAATTTGATTCAGTGTTCCAAATTGCTCATATCCTCTCGTAACATTTTGCTCTTTATTCTTTTTTCTCCCATTGCTGAGTGCTTAATTACATCTTCTTCACAAATATCTTGTAGCAAGGAAGAACAGCCATGATTAGCATGCAATTGATGCAGAAATAGCCAAAAAGGATTCAGCAGTGTCCAGCATCTGACCAAGATGAAACAAGTGGTTATTTGGATTTGGCAGCCAATAAGAAAAAAGATGACCACTGAGTTGGCTTATGGATCCTCAAAGTGGAAAACTTGTACACACTATGAAGTTTGTTAAAAGGATTGTGTTTAGTGCCTTTTGGCATGTTGGCAACTTTCAGTGTGTTAAAGAGCCGGCTGTAATTATTAATTTTTCACATATATCCAAATATTTGTAATTGTCCTTTGGTTTTCATTATTTTATTATTATATCCTTATCGAGTACAATATTTCTGGTTCCTAATAGTTCTCCTTTGACAAATTGAAACATGACATTTTTTTAAGTTCAAATTTCATTCCAATATCATCACTAAATTGGTGTACCACTGATTTTTTGCAAAAATTTTAAATCATTCATATAAATATGACTTGTTTCATTTAATATTTTGCTCAGCTGAATTAATGCCAAACAGAAAAAGAAAGATAATGAATCTCCTCAGAAGATTACAAAATTGATATTGACTTCACCAAAATTAATAGTTCTAGTGTTTGTGTTCACAGTCAATGTGGACCATCATAATGTGTAATAAGAAATTCCTGGCAAAAATTTTGAATGGTTCTAGATATTCTTCAATCCAATTATGACAAAGAATATCTAAGTCTTCTTATAGTCTACCCAGGAAAGTAAAACTTTTTTGTGCATATTATGACAATAATTTAGAATCAATTTATTTCTTAAAAATTGATCCTAACATCCATATGACACGTGTTTTCTGTTAATCAGGAAATATTTTGTTGATAAGGTAAATATAGTATGCTTGGTCAGAATACATGTGATAGTTTTGTACCTTGTTTAAGGTGTGTTAAAAATCTATTGTTTTTAGAGATTTTTGTTTTATCATTTTGAGAGAGAAAATGTGATACTGTCATATGCCCCAGTCGATGAATGGGTTTATAAGGTGATTATACGCCGACTAGGAGATATATACATTCTCACACCTGTGGAGAGATACAAGCTATCTCTCCCAGATCATGACAATGGACAATTGGTAAACAAAAATATTTTTAAGACCACCGTTCGATTGGGATAATCGAACAGTAATCTTTCCCAGGTCCGATTCGTTTTCAACACGAATACTGATCCACAATACACGGATGAACTATAAGGCTTAGCGATTTTTGATACAAGAATTTTAATATGTACAAATATACAAATATCAAAATAAAAGAACAGATAAGATAAGTATGAGTTAAAACATCCGACGACCGGATCTCAAAACTTACGTTGGGATATCAAAATTCACCTAACTCCAAATGGATTCAACTGAACCCGAACATACAAAAATATAAGTATGAATTACTATGAATTGAATGCAGAAGCCAACGCACACAAAAGAGATGGGATAGGAGTTACAATTATTGCTTTACATGTGGAAAGGTGTTTGCAAGAACATAATATTCATGGATGTATGTATATCTTTCTACTACGGGTCCAAAATATGATTACTTATCTTTTATATTCAGTTCACTTTTTTTTATCATTGTCCTTTCTTTTCTTTTCTCGATACAAACACAATTTCACACACTGTCCGGCTGTAACAGAGGTATACACTTTCTTCCTCTCTTTGTTTTGCCTTTTTCTTTCCTTCCTTTTTCTTCTGTAGACAGTTCAGTTTCCAAACCTGACTCACTGCAACAGGGATGTACACTTTCTTCCTCTCTTTGGTTTTCTTTTTTCTTTCCTTCTTCTTCTTTACACAATTCAGCTTATAACAGAACTATACACTTTCTTCTCTGGTTTTCCTTTTTCTTTCTTTACACAATTCAACTTGTAACAGAGATATATACTTTCTTCCTCTCTGGATATCCTTTTTCTTTTCTTTACACAATTCAACTTATAACAGAGGTATATGCTTTCTTCTCTGGTTTTCCTTTTTCTTTAAATGCAGACTGAATCCTCAGCGTATAAATTTCTCTGCGTCTTCAATTTGGGGTTATCGAACAAGAATACTTCTTGTTATATTTCTTGTCCGGAGTTGCCTGGGTTGAACTGGATGAGTTCCATCACTATCAAATGAGTCTTATCTTTCCGTTCATAAACTATCAGCACTTCGACTTCAGGTCTTGCTTTTTCCAAGTCAAGATAGCAACTGATTCTCGAGTCAATCTCTGACTATCACTATTAATTTTTGGCATGAATTCCAGCTTACATCAATCCCCTGCCAAGCTTCTGTCTAGACATTTGTCGCTACGGGTAATTGGGTCAGTCAACCTTTTGACCTGCCTTCCCAAAATGTCATAAGACTCCCCCGTGACCTTTATTCTGTTGCTAGGTGAAAGTTAACCTTAATAGATGTGTGTATGCATGTTTAGGCTATCTGCTTTCATCACAATACTATTAACCAGTCACTATCAGGTCATTTGCAGCTTGTTAATAAAGGAGGCTAGTGTTTTTATGAGAACTTGTCAAAATATTCAATTGAAGGTTTAAAATTTTATTCTTTCCTGGGTTCTTCCATTTATTGAACTTTTTTTTAAAGCAATTTCTAAAATTTCCTTCCAACTTTGCACTTCAAAATGTGCTGTGCTTTTTTAATCTTTTTATAAAAAGAATACATCTTTGAAACCACAATGTGGTATCAAAGACATATTCTTTTTTTTCTGACCATAACCTATTGCAAAAGTCACACATTTCCTGCTCTGTAAATGTATATTCTACTTTTTACTTTTTCTTATTCTGCTGTAAAAACTTTTTTGGCTGATTTTGAAAATCTTGTTATCTTTGAGAAACCTAGATTGGTGTATGCATGTGGTTTTTGCTTACACTTTTTATTTTATCTTTTCTATTATTTCATAAATTTGGTCAACAAATTTTATTATAGGTTTTTATTTGATTTCGTTGATCTTTGACAATTTGAAGTTATGACTATTGCTGAGATTTTTTAGTATTTCTATGTCAGACATAAGAATATTGATTTGTTTCTTGATTTTTCTTTCTGTGCTGGCTTTTTTCAAAAAGTTTTCATTTTATTTTTCAGTTATAGTAGATACAATTTGGTACAAATAGTAATAGAAATGTAGACTAAATTATTCAAGAATATGTTCACTTCTGTTTATGTTGTTTTTAATGATCATATTTACCTGGTAAATAATTATATCCTTTATTCAGTTATGCATTTTTGGTACAGCTGGACTTTAATCCATTCATAGATTATAGATGTTAAGAACTTCAACAAGTTCTTATGCAATGGTCTAGACTGTCTGAAGTGGCTGTGGACTATTTTGTATTTCACAGTTTATTTGTATTGACATCATTTCTGCTGATATCAGTTGAACTGTTAAGAACTTCATCAACAAATTCCTCTGCAATGGTCTGGACTGTCTGAAGTGGCTGTGGACTATTTTGTATTTCACAGTTTATTTGTATTGACATCATTTCTGCTGATATCAGTTGAACTGTTAAGAACTTCATCAACAAATTCCTCTGCAATGGTCTGGACTGTCTGAAGTGGCTGTGGACTATTTTGTATTTCACAGTTTATTTGTATTGACATCATTTCTGCTGATATCAGTTGAACTGTTAAAACTTCATCAACAAATTCCTCTGCAATGGTCTGGACTGTCTGAAGTGGCTGTGGACTATTTTGTATTTCACAGTTTATTTGTATTGACATCATTTCTGCTGATATCAGTTGAACTGTTAAAACTTCATCAACAAATTCCTCTGCAATGGTCTGGACTGTCTGAAGTGGCTGTGGACTATTTTGTATTTCACAGTTTATTTGTATTGACATCATTTCTGCTGATATCAGTTGAACTGTTAAAAACTTCATCAACAAATTCCTCTGCAATGGTCTGGACTGTCTGAAGTGGCTGTGGACTATTTTGTATTTCACAGTTTATTTGTATTGACATCATTTCTGCTGATATCAGTTGAACTGTTAAAAACTTCATCAACAAATTCCTCTGCAATGCTCTGGACTGTCTGAAGTGCCTGTGGACTATTTTATATTTCACATATTCTGCTATTTCCTTTCTGTCTGAATTTTTGTGAAGACGAGTTGTTATTATTTACACTATTTATATGCAGACTATTGTTCTCATCTTTCTTGTCATCACATTTTCTCCTTTGTGCACAACAGTAGAAAAATTGTAATAGTGACAACAATGATGATGACAATAGGCTGAATGCAAATAGTGTATATATCTATTTCTTGCTTTTACATTTTTTTTGCATTAACTCTGTTGATTTGAGCTGTGTTTGTTAAGTTACCACTCATATATGATTGTATGTTTTTTGTTATTTGATCTATTTTGATATCAGCAGTTTTTTTATTATATTTTTATGTACATTCGCAAGGGTATTCCTACTGACATTTGGCCATATGTCAGAATTCTTTTCCCCCCCATATTCAATATGTTTGTTCAGTGTTTGAAACTTTTCATGGCTATTTAGTAGGTCTCCTGAATTTTTTTCTTGCCATCCAAGGATCATCTATCTCTTGATTTTAGTAGTACCTGTTATGGGAGATATCTATTCCTAACTATTTGGAAACCAGTAGCTGACCCCAGACTGATTTTTCACTGAGGAGTAGGAAACAACCAATCTACTATGAATTTTTGTCTGTAAAAATTTATGATCTTTGTATGTTTTATCCATGACTGTGAAGAGGTAACTTTATTTGAGATACCACTTCTAGGATCAACTGAGACTAAGTGGTTTTTCCAGCTTATAAGACACTGTCATTACACACTGGAGGCTGTCATGTCTTGCAGCAGGTACAAGACTAATGTGGCAGTCAAGGATCATCATCTGGTTGTAGATAAGTAATTGGACTTACTGAATTTGATAATTCCACTTATGCAGATATTCTGGGAACTAATCTGGATATGCTGGATGATTCTATGGGAAACAATTTATCGACACACAAGGTGGAGATTGTCCCATTGCAAGAAAACACCAGGTTCAAGTGACTCACTCCAGTCTGTTGCATTTGTGATTATGAGAGTGTGGTGAAGAAAATTGGTGACTATAAGCGACAGCATGTTGTGTGTTATCTGCTGGTGGAAAAGGAAGGCTTGCAGATATAGAGAATATTAGACAAATTTTTATCTCACCTCAGCCAATCACTGACTTTCTGATTTGCATATAAGCAGAGTACCCTGAATAATGGGATGATGTGGTTTTCTTGTTTGCTGTGGCGTGTGAAAGACAGTATTGTGACCTATGACCTACAAATTTGTAGCTTTTGATTTGTAGATTTTTATTTTTATTTTTGCCACTTCTGGAACTTTTCAACTACATGAATAATCACCAGTGATGAAAAGTGGATTCTCTAAAACTATATCAAATGAAAATTACAATGGTTAGCACCCACTGCAATAGAAGAATCCATTACCAAATGAAGACTGCACTCCAAAAATTATGATTTTTGAAGTAGTACGTAGAGCATATCATCTATCATGAAGTGTTGAAATAAAACAAAACAGTTAATATGGAGAAGTATTGCTGTCAATTAGAAGCTCTGCATCAAAATCTGCAGTAAAAGTATTTATCATGGGTTAATCATAAAGACGTGTTGTTTTTAAATGATAATACAAGATCATATATTGACTGAGTCACTTATAACACTAAATATGGAAGTTTTGTTTCATTGGGGCATTTTTAAAGAGAAAATAGTATATTAATTGTGAAGAGGTTAAAACTGATATTGAGGCTTTGTTTGCATTCAAACCTGACAAATTTTATACCCAAGGGATCACCAATTTGCCCAATAGATAGGGACTATATTGTTGGTAATGAGTGGAAAATATTATCTTGCTTAAATTTATCAATTAAGACCAAAGAACTATTTGTTTCTCTTCCATCTTTTAGGCTAATATATCAGATCTATCTATCGCATTCTGTTCACATCTATCTATCAATTCATATCTATCCGTACATATTTATCTATCAACACATATCTATCAGCACATCTATCAGCTCATATCTGTCTATCTATCTATCTATTGCAATCTCTTTATATCTGTCTATTGTAATCTGTTCATATCTATCTATTCATATCTATCTATCAGAACATATCTATCTATCTTGCTGCAAGTATATCTGTCAGTGAAATGGAAGATTTACTTTTTAAGTGATTCTGGTGCTGCTGCTACAGCTGGTGGTGGTGGGTGGAGGTGATAATGATGAAAAATGATAGAGAATTAATGAGAATTTGAATACATTTTTGCCTCTGAGGCACCATCCTGTAAACTTAATGATTGCCTCTGTCATTTTAGCTTTTTTCTACTATAATTAAATAGGCAGTGTTTCTAGGGACTGTCCATAAACATGCAATCATGCTAAGAATATAGAAGTGATCAGTGGTTTCTTTCAGGATGGAAGCAGAAAGCAGATTTCATTATCACAAGTACTTGTTATTTTCTTGGCTGTATTTTGTCAGACCTGCTGTAATTAATAACTTTATATTGATTGGCTGCTTGCTTCTTCTTACTCAAATGCAATCATGCACTGGCACCTTCAATTAATGCTTGTCTAACCAAAGGGCAATGAGACTGGCAGAGTTGAATTTGCCTATTAGCTTGTAATCAAGGTAGAAATCTATCTATCTATTTCTGTTCATAGCTATCTGATTGTGTTCACATCTCTCCCTATATATATATATATATATATATATATATATATATATATATATTTCATTCTATTCATATTTATTTATTTCAGTTTGTTCATGTTCATCTATCTATCACATTCTGTTCCTATCTATCTATTTATCACATACTGTTCATTATCTATCTATGTATTTATTTCAGTCTATTTATATGTATCTCTCTATTTAAGTCTGTTTACATCTATCTAATTCTGTTCATATCCATATATTCAACAATCTATCTGTCAATGTCAGTCTGCTCAAATCTAGCTATCTATCAATTTCAGTTTGTTCACATCTCTCTCTCTCTCTATATATATATATATATATATATATAAAATATGATAAAATATAGTTTTAGGGTATGCTATATTTATGGGTTAAAGTGCTCAATATCAGGGATAGAGCATATGTAAATATAAAATGGACATTGAAGTCAACACCCAGAGTGGATGATAACTTCAGTGTCACACACACACACACACATATATATATATATATATATATATATATATATATATATATATATATATTTATTTATTTATTTAATTCTGTTCATATCTATTTCAGTCTACCATGTCTATCTATCACATTCTGTTCATTATTTATCTAGCTATCTGTCTATTTCATCATATTCATAATTATCTATCTAGCTGTCTATTTCATCATATTCATAATTATCTATCTAGCTGTCTATTTCATCATATTCATAATTATCTATCTAGCTGTCTATTTCATCATGTTCATATTTATCTATCTATATATCCAGTCAGTTCACATCTATCTATCCATCTATTTCAGTCTGTTTACATATATCTATCTTAGTCAGTTCATATCTATCTATCTATCTATCTATCTATCTATCTATCTCATTGTTGGAATATCTAATTTTTTCTTTCTCTCTCAATAAATGCTTAGCATATATACACAAAGCCATTGTAAATAATATTAACATAGATGAAAATAGGAGCCACAGAAAAAACTCTTAAAGAAAGATATTATAACCACAAAATGTTAGTCAAAAGAAAAAATACACAAACAATACAACCCTATAAAATATATATATGGAGCCAAAAAGAAAATGATCTCCCCACTAAAATCAAATGGAAAATTATAAAAAGAGCCACTTCATACAATGTTAACAACAAAAATTGTAAATTATGTTTAGAAAAAAATTAGCAATAATTAGTTTTAAAAACCAAAATAAACTCTTAAACAAGAAAACTGAAATAATGGGCAAGTGTAGGTATATAAATAAATATTTACATCTAAGCACTAAAAATAAACAAATAAATATAAATAAAATAAATATAAACTTTAAAAATCTAATACAAACTTTAAATAAATAAATAAAAGAAACAAATATAATATAAACTTAATTTATGAATAAACAAATGAATGAACAAATGTGCATGTGTATACATGTATATGTGAACATGCACACACACACACAAACATAAAAAAAATGAACAAACATAAAAGTATTTACATCAAGGAAAATGTTACTTTCATCCAATGAAGTCCTAAAGGACTAAACATATCACCAGAAAATTTTTATCTACTTTGTCATTAATGATAATAATAATAATAATTATATATATACGGGGTGCAATGTGTAAATTGTCACCATTTTATACTCTGCACCATGCCACACAAGTAGGAGAACCTAGTCATGGCTGTCAGACAATTTCTGCAGCCACATCACCCCTTACCTCTGGCCACCTAACTCCTCAGACTGCAACCCCCTTGCTTATTATATGTGGGGCACAGTTGAACGAGAGACCAACAAAACTCTTTGTAACACCAAAGATGAATTGAAGGCAAGGATTATGGTGGCATTCACCAGCTTAAACAAGGAGACCATCCAGAGAAGTTGCAGGAGATTCTGAAGTTATCTGGATGCTGTGGTTGAAGCCAATGGCAATTTTATTGAATACATTTACTCTTTAGTATTTCAAGATATTTTTGCGTAATTTTGTAAATATCTCTGTTAAAATGAGATGTCAGTGTTATTTTCATTTTTACGTCATTCAAACGACAATTTATACATCGCACACTGTATATCTGTTAAAATGAGATATCAGTGTTATTTTCATTTTTGTGTCATTTAGATGACAATTTATCCATCGTACCCTGTATATCTGTTAAAATGAGATGTCAGTGTTCTTTTCATTTTCTTGAAATTTAGATGACAATTTATCCATCGCATTCTTCCACTCTATCTCTCTCATGGGATGCTCTAGAATAATTCCCCCTATTTATTTCTGTAAAAATTTTAATACAGGAAGACAGTAAATCATTTGATACTGCAAATTTTACAAAACACTCTCTTTGCACTTAGTTACCATTATTACATTTTCACCAATAAAGAATAAGAGCAAGTGCTCTTTACTTTGTGGGTTGGTAGCTGTGCAAGATCCCACAGAATATGGTTTGTCCCATACATGACAGTTTGTAATTTTTTTCTGAATGGCAAATGATACACCTTTGCTTCATATACACTTCCATGTCAGTGGTCATTTTGCCAGAATGAACAGAAAATGAGAATATTCAATATAACTGTACTTAAAGTCTAAACTAAGCCTAGCTAAGTTAGCTTTTTAATTTTAACTTCAGTACATATTTGTCAGGAGTTCACAACTCATTTTATGTCTTTGACAGAAAAAGGTAGGTGTTTCTGATTTAGATGATATGGATGATTTTGCATTATATCCATGTGGCACAGTTCCTTGTACTGATTAAGAAAGTCTTTTCTGCTGGTCATCAAGCCACTCACCCTTGAAAGCATGTTGTTTCCTGTCGACATTCCCACATTTTTTTAAAAACAACTGAAACAAAAGCTTAACTAACATTATTGTAAGACAGTTATAGCTATTTTTACTTCCAATTTTTGATATGCACACAAAACATCTTTCACAAATAACTATGCACACAAAACATCTTTCACAAATAGTAAATACGTGAACAGCACAATGCTTTCCAAGTATATCTGGGAAATTAAAAACAAAACAAAACGCAAATCACACCAAAAATATCATGGAAAAGATCATCGGCCTACAATAATCAATCAAAAACCTGCAAACTTTGCTTGGAGAAAAAATGACTATTATTACCCTCCCAGACCAAAATAAATTACTAAATAAATGGTCTGAGCTCATCTCAAAATGCAGACATGAAAACAAATTTTTGCTATGTTACTTAAAAATTGAAAACTGAAATAAATAAATACAAAAAAACAAAATAATATAAAAAACAAGTAAAATAAATTAACCCAAACAAATAATAAACAAATTAACAAACTACTCCTGTTAGAATAGACAAAATAGAATAAATAAAAATAAAAAATAAAATACATAAAAAGCAAGTAAAAATAATCAACCCAAATAAATAAAGTAAATAATAATAAACAAATTAACAATCCAATCCTGCCAAAATAACCATTAGAATAGACTACAACAACCAATCCAAAAATTGAATGTAAAAATAGCTATAACTGCTATATAACGATAAAAAAAACATTACTATGTTACTCAAAAATCAATAGAGTAAATAAAAATATACAAAATAAAAAATAAGTAAATAAAAATAAACAAATAAAAATTAATCTAAATACATAAATAAATGAATAAATTAACAAATCGTCCCCGCTAAAATAACCATTAGAACTAATAAAAATAAGCATAAATAAGCAAAAATAAGTAAAAATAATCAATCCAAATAAATAAATTAATTAATTAATTAAAAACTGTCCCCCACCAAAATAACAGAATAGGCTATGGCAAGCAATCTAAACATTGGATGAATAAATAGCTTTAATTATCTTCCCAGACCAAAACAAGCAATTAAATAAGTAACCTAAGCAAATCCCCCCAATTTTTTTACTACGTTAATAAAACATCAAAAAACGAAAAGAATAAATAATACATAATGAAAATGAAAAACAAGTAAAATAAATTAACCCAAACAAATAAATAAATAAATAAACAAACAAAAATAACTGCCAGAATCGATTATCCACAATGCACCACTGACTCATATATATAAATAGTCATGGAAAAATCCAACATTTGCGGCCTGACGATTGCGTCTAGCTTGTAGCCTCTGAGTGTTGACTTCAATGTTCATATTTATATTTACATACGCTCTATCTCTGATAACCCATAAATATAGCACACCTTAAAACTATATATATATATATATATATATATATTGTATGAGTATGCATATATATTTATGAAAAGAAGTAATTCAGCTAAGAGATTTCTTTTTCTGCAGTCAATTTAGTCAAATGTTTGGGGTAAAGCTTTTATCTCAATTCTGACTGAGAGATGATTGCTATTGGTACTATTTTGTGTCACTCCTGTGTGTAGTTGATGTGAGTACTTCTGTATGTGCTCTCTGTAAGTCCTTTGAGTGGCTTTTGGTACATTCTTATATAGGCCAGAGACAAGCTCCAAATGAAAGCAAAATTGGTTAGGAAGGGTCACGTGGTGCAATTACTGTTACACCCAAACAGTGGCAACAGCAAGTCTGCTTTTTCATGTCTATTTTTAGACTTGATGAAGTTGGGAATTTGAAAATGTATTTTTATTTATTTTTGTGTATTTTCAAAGTCCCAATAAAATATAATTAATTATTAAGTAAATTTAACTTAGAACTACAATAGGACAGCTTTCCTGATTTTAATTGATAGAAAATCTTAATAAGAAAACTCAATAATTTTTTAAATAAAAAACCAGAATTGTAGTGAGCAGGTTTAGATATGAATAAGATGATAGATAGATAGATAGATAGATAGATAGATAGATAGATAGATAGATAGATGTGAACACAATCAGATAGATATGAACAGAATTCTTCTTCTTTTATAATGCTGGTTATAAAAAAATCTGCTATGTTTCTGTTGAAATAGGTTCTTGACAAAATCAAAAGAAATATCTGCAATGTAATCGATCCTGATTTGGCATCTCAACTTCAGTCACTTTCTCACAGACAAGATATGGCTTCCCTCTGTCTTTTCCACAGATATTTTCATGGCAATTGTTTTGATAAGCTTTTATCACTGGTGCCCCAATTACATGAATTTAAGCATGCTACTAGATTGGCATCTAAGTTCCACCCTTTTACTGTTGAAATAGTTAAATATTAACTTCTAGTCCAACAGTTTCTTTTCTTGCACTTCCTGACAGTGGAACTCTCTTCCTCTTACTTGCTTCCCTGATAACTACAATCTTCAAAAATTTAAATTGCAATGTCAATCTCTTGTTGTCTTGAACTAGTGGCACTTGCTTGCAGTGAAAGGATTAAAAAAATAGATAGATAGATATAGAACAGTCTAATTGAGAAACTGATAGATAGAATTTCAAATTATTAGGAAAAGAAACAAATTTATTTTAAGAAAATTGATTAAATTGTCATAAGATATTTGTATTGAATCTTAAAATAAGAACATTTTCAATAAATCAGATCTTTACATTGTTTAAACAGTTAAAATCACAAACATTTACATGTTTTTCAAATGAGTAAATTAAATTGTAATAAATGTGATAAATAACATTATTTTACAAAGTTTTTTACAATTTTTTTAGTCACTTTTAGTAACATTGTAAATTAAATTTAATCTTTTGACAAATAATTTTTTTTAAATTGATAAAAAAATTAAATTTAAAATCTTGAAAATCTAATAAAATTAGATAAATGCATTTATTTTGTTTAGATAATGTTTTTTCATACTTGAAAATAGTAACATATTTAATTACACAATTTGTGTTTAATGTAGGTGAAGTGGAGAAACTTGAACCAGTTGCCAAATTTAGAAAGTTCCAGATTTGTTTGCTTATTATCAAACATGTGTAAGGTATTAACATTTTGTATCAATTACATTTTCGTCTTTTTTTTCTCGTTTTTAGT